GGTCGAGCAGACAATGTCCCTTTAGGATGAAACTCGTGTCGATGCAGACCTGGTTTTTAAAATTTAGAGCAACATAAGTCCTCACACATATGTCCTATATCGTCACAGTCGTACCACAGTGCCATGACTGCGGCGCGTTTTTAGAAATTTCAAAAAGCAGATCGTGCACAGAAGACATCAATTGATAACGTGCAACTACACTTTCTACCGTAGTTACGAGAAGACTCGTATTTTTCACACAGCAATGCTACCCTAAACGTTTTGCTAGATAGTGTGGTACTAGTAGGTAGTTGTTTGCCCTCTGAAGTGTGCATGACGGACAATAAAAATGATTATTTAAATTAATTGAGAATGTAGGCAAGCGAGAGCCGCTGAAGCCTGGGCTGATGCGACCGTGTGAAGAGGCCCATTTTGTGGGCAAAGTAGCGTTCGCGCCGCTTGGATTGGATCTCGTCCCGCTTCTGGCCGTACTTGAGCTTGAGCTTGGCGAGCACCTCCTCTCGGTGGTTCTCGTAGTAGACGCGCGCGCGCTCACGGGCCATTTCCCGCTGCGCCATTGACGGAGCGCGTCGTTTCCGCTTCGTGCGTTCTTGCATCTTTCGTGTAAAAACTCAAGTGACGTCGAGCAGAAGAACCTTGGCTCGCATGGTGTTTTCACACAGCAGCGAAGTCCCAAGAGTCTAACGTGTCCACGCGGGGCTAGATAGTGTGGTACGCAGCTACGGTAGAAAGTGTAGTTGCACGTTATCAATTGATGTCTTCTGTGCACGATCTGCTTTTGAAATTTCTAAAACGCGCCGCAGTCATGGCACTGTGGTACGACTGTGACGATATAGGACATATGTGTGAGGACTTATGTTGCTCTAAATTTTAAAAACCAGGTCTGCATCGACACGAGTTTCATCCTAAAGGGACATTGTCTGCTCGACCGTCGATTCGCATCCTAAATGTCCTGGCGTGAAGCTCTGGCATAGATGTCGACGCAGCGTGGTTGGTGTCTTATTGTCATGTTGATTTGTGTGTATGGAGCGTGAACGTTGCAATGCATCGCAGTCTCGTTGCTGTTGCTATGGAGGAAGAGCGAGCTAGACAACGCCTCTTTCTCTTCCTAGAGACCACCACCGAGTACTGTTGCACTAGGGACCTTGTGCAGCTCGGCGTTGGACAGGTCCACGGTGCAGAAAACGAGCGACCCAGTACCGACGTGATCATCGCGGCGTCTGAGTCAGACGACGCTGGCATTAGAAGGGCAATACCACGGTCCAGCAGCAACGACGATGTAGCAAGCTGGTGGTGGGCTCGGCACTCACTTTTTCTTTTTCCTCGTCGGGGTGAGCAGCAGCAGCATGAGCACTGCCAAGGAGTTTATTCCTGCCGAGCGCGTCTCGTACTTGCACTCGGTCGACAAGATGACTGCGGACCACGCTGACGACTACGAAGCCACCAAGACGCCCGGTGACCTCGAGGACGGCGCGCTCCGCGCCGGCGGTGCTCCGGTGTACACATCGGCCGAGTGCCTCTCCATTCTTTTCCAGTATGCGATGATCGGTATCGTCTACGGCGGCGTCAGTGGCATGCGCTACGCCGTCGTGAACGGCTACTATGCCCTCGAGACGAACGTGGCCAACTCGGCCAAGGCGCTTTTGACGCTCGGCTGGTCGCTCAAGGTCGTCTTTGGTGTCCTCAACGACTGCTTCCCGATCTTTGGTTACCACCGCAAGCCGTACATGGTCCTCGGCTGGTTTCTCTGCGGCGCCGTCCTCCTCTTTATTGCGATCCGCGACAACGGGGAGCAGGGCTCGCAGACCGACGGGCCGGTCTTTATCCTCCTCGCGACCATTGCGTGTTTTTGCTACGTCATGGCCGACGTCGCCCAGGATGCGCTCATGCTTGCGGTCGCCCAGCGTGAGCCCGAAGCCGTCCGCGGTCGCCTCCAGTCGCTCTCGTACGCGACGCGCCAGATCTTTTTGGGTCTCATCCAGTTTGTGTCGGGCATCTGCCTCAACTCGGATCGCTTTGCCGGCGACTTTGACTTTGACATTGGCATCAACGGGTACTTTTGGATCATGGCCATTCCGTCGTGCTTGAACGTGCTCGTGTGCTACTTCTTCGTCAAGGACGAAAAGCACAGCCGCGTCGACATTGGTTCGTACTTTGGCAAGTTCTGGGACCTCGCTCAGAAGCGTGCCGTGTGGCAGGTCCTCCTCTTCAACTTCCTCTTTGGCTTGTTCCAGGCGATCGGCTCGACAGCCTCCGACTACGTCGCCTTGTACTGGGCCAAAGTCGAAAACCTCAACGCGCAGATTGTCAGTGTCGTGACCCAGCTCCTCTTTGCGGTCGTCATCACGGCGACGGGCACCTACGGCACGCACTGGAACTGGCGCTACGTGCTCGTCATCACGATCCTCGTCACCGTCTCCATTGACGCCGTGGTCCAGTTCTGCACGATCTTTGCCGTCCTTCGCAGCCAGTGGTTCTACCTCGGCGTGCCGCTCATGGAGACGATCCCGGCCGGTATCAACTTTATCGTTGGCACGTACGTCATTGTCGAGCTCGCCGAGGTCGGCAACGAAGGTGTCATGTACGGTCTCCTCACGACGATCTCGAACCTCCCGGGTACCTTTGGCACGATCATCACCAACGTCATCGACAGCAAGCTCAACTACAGCAAGACGCTCATCTTCGACGATGCGCCTGCGACGCGGACGGCCGTCGCCTACTCGTACATCATCTCGTACTCGTGCATGGTGCTTGGCTGCCTCTGGGTGTTCCTCCTCCCGCCGCAGCGCGCCGCCGTCGCCGAGCTCAAGAAGAACGGCGGCAGCCACCCCAAGGTGGCCGCGCTCATCTTTGTCACGCTCTTTGTCGTGCTCGTCACGTCCATCACGGGCAGCTTGATGTCCATGTTCAAGACCACGAGCTGCTTTCTACTCGCGGGCGGCAAGGTGCCGTGCCCGGACGGCACGCCGCAGACGTACCTCGCCATCATCTTTGTGCCCGGTGTCATCGTCGCACTTTTCGCCGCGTACAAGCTCTTCATCGCCAAGAAGTAGTCGCGTATTCTACCTCCTGTTGTGTCGTTCAACTGATAAGGCGAACAAAAGTGTCGTGTGTATCTCACTACGTTTGTTTTTTGATGAACCTATTTGATTTGGCAGCTTCGCCCCGATGTGCGGGACAGCCGAGTAGAAATGCCGCGCACGGGGCTGTGTTCGTTCTGGACAATCATTTTTACATCCCGAACGTTTTGAATTGCAAAATGGCAAGCAGTACTGCTGGTGTTGCACAACGCACGGTTCTAGGATCCCATAGCACATCCGGGATGCAACGAATCGCTTCCAGATCGGATAATCGCGCGCAAGCAACAGAGAACGAATTCGGATGTCTACATGTGGTGCTTCAGATGTCTAAAAGTGGTGATTGGCGTGATCACGCTTCGAGCCCGTGTGGGCCGCGCTCGACAAGGCCGATAAAATTGGTCTCGTTGTTGAGCCGACATCGTGTCCCTCAGATCGCACGCTCGTTTCCGTGCGCGTAGCTCATGTCTGGTTGTAGCATCTCGTTTCAAATTGTCTATGGTACAATGTATATCGACGACCCATTTCAACAACATTCCAGGCCGACGTCAAGGCAGAAGGAAACGAGATACCATGGTTCATTTTGCAATTTGTCACTGTCTCGTCATTGTGTTGTCGATAATGGACTCGAACTCACGAGATCCCTTTATAGCGTAATCGTGATGTGCACAATGGCCATTTCCGTCGTCGGGTCGTCGATCCTACACGCATTATGCGGACGCACCGCCCATTCGTACCAGAGTGGGATATGACGTGGCAATAAAAACGGCCCTTGATTCGCTTAGGTCACTGCGCCTTGCGACATGGCGCCAACCAGCCGGCGACCGCGCGTGGAAGGCAATCTGCGCATTTGACGATTGGCATGGAGAGTATGAGGCCGTGTCTGCTCAAGACGCGCACCCGGTGTCCACTCTCGCCCGCGCAACTCGAGAAGAACCGGCAGCGCGCCCGCACGTACTATGTCCGGCACAAGGCGGTCGTGCTCGCGAAGCTCAAGACGCGCTACCTCCAGAAGCGTGAGATCATCCAGGCCAAGCGACGAGCACTCTACCAGCGAAAAACGGCGAGCAGCCGTCGACCAAATGCTGTGAAGTCGTCGACAGTCCCGGTGACCGTAAACCGACTCGCGCTGCGCTATATTCTTAATTAACGTCTTATATTGCACACCAACGCCGCGTCAATTGAAGTGTGTGCGTCCACGTAAATATACATTTTTAGAGAATCGAAAAATTGGTTTTCGGGAGCGGGGGCGGACGAAGCGGCGCCAAGCATTTCTGCTTGGGTCGCCTAGCGCAAAAGTCACCCACCGCACCGCACTCGATTGCCTTTTTGCCCCAACACGGTGTCTCCTCTGCTCCACCTCGACAAAGGAAGCCCGCGTAGGAAAAACGCGTTTTAAAGACAGGACGTGGGTAAAACGTCATGCCAACTTCATTGGGGCCAACGAGATCATTTGCGTCATCGAGCGACGTCGCTCGAGGCAGGAAGGTTTTCTTCTGCGCTTGATTACGTTAGTAGTAGCGTGAAACAATGACCCTTTTCGCTCCCCGCGTGGCAACGCAAATCAAAAGACACGGAAAACCACATGTACCGCACTGTAGTCATTTCAAGCTTGATACCAAAGCTCCTAGAAAATGTGGGGTGGGTATTCTACTATAGCGACAAAAAGATATGCTGCCCCATAGACAGGACAGTGCCTACGTTAGGTTGCATTTGCATCATCCAGTCCGGCGTTCGAATTAGAAACTAGGATGGTTCATCGCAGTTCTCGAGGCGTGAGAAGGAGTATTAAGGACTCCTTTTCATGGACCTGTCTCTAAATTTTAGGGACAGGTCCATGTATTACTCAGAAGGTGAAGATTGTCTCGACACCACACGTGGTATCGTGGTGCTGCAATCCATTCTATCACAGCGCGGTGCTCACGTCGTTGGATGTATCGTGAAGCGCTTGAGCTTGTGCTGAGGTCATTGCATTCTTCTGGACGATAGGAATTACCGTTCTTGTACGTAGGTCATCACGAGAAGCCCGTCGTCAGGGAGGCTCCACGAGAAAAAAACTGTTTTACCTCGGATTTTACTCCGGGGAGCCGTTGCGCGGCACGACTCAGATACGTTGGCAGCAACGCGATTCATGGGTCCTCCCTTTTTGCGTGTTGAAGTTCGCGCACGCCACGTGTATCCACTTTATTCAATACAAACACCTAGATGAAATTTTCGGCGCCAAAGTCGAATCCCACATGCGCGCACCTTCCACACGCGAGTCCACCCGATGCCCGTGGACGTTCCCTCGAACACTCCAGTCCGATGCTGCGACGTTAACACCCTTCTGATAACAGATTACAAAGATCGCTCAGAGAGTACTACGAAGGGGAGGACGAGGCGGCTCGGCGCCAAAGCAGCGGAAGAGGTCCAGCGACTTAACACAATATAGTCATTCTGCAATTTACCAGCTCTCAGCATGGACCGCACCAGCAATGCGCTCATGGAGCGTGTCTCGTACGTCCACTCGGTCGACAAGGCCGCCAAGCCGGGTGACCCGGAGTACGACGACATGAAGACGCCCGGTGAGATGGAAGGCGGCGCACTCCGCGATGGCGACGCCCCGGTGTACACGTCGCCCGAGATCCTCGCCATCCTCTACCAGTACGCGATGATCGGCATCGTCTACGGTGGCGTCCCCGCCATGAAGTTTCCGATCCTCGCCTCCTACTTTCAGCTCGAAACCAACGTCTTGAGCTCCGCCTCGGCACTCATGACGCTCGGCTGGACCATCAAAGTCTTCTTCGGCATGTTCAACGACTGCTTCCCGATCTTCGGCTACTC